ATGAAGTATTTACTTAGTGCCTCGACTGCGTAATGGGTAGTGGTATTATAAGCGTGGCTGTGTAACGTGAGAAGTTATGTTCGACTCCAGATTTATTATTATGAATTATTTTTTTTGGTCTGAAAGGGATCTGAAATAGTGCTGAGTTTTTCCAAATAAATTATTTTAGGATACTAATGAAAGATAATCTAAATAACTTAATGCCATTACATAGGTACAGCCAAAATCTTGATTGCTTTAAAGAAGGGTACTTACTGAGTAGCCATTTATTTTGAAAGTAACCATGAACTGATATTTGGTTCAAAATAAATCATATACCTACTAATTACTCTACAATGACCTAATTACAATACGAAAATACACCAAACAACCCTGCCAAAAACCGTCAAATTTATTCCGACATCCGCGACCTCGACCACTGAATCAGTAGGCAAAATCTCACGTAATCAAAGGTTAAAATCAACGACAAAAATCTCAATAAAACCACAATTTAAGTCAAGCTTACACAACACGCCAGTGAAGTATAATAAATTGAATTATTTACGCCACATTTTGCGATAGAGATCGTTAAAAATACAAAAAGTAGTTATTAATTGAGTCTCGCGTGTTTCATGTACTCGTCTGTTAGTTTCTTTACATATATTATGTATATGTTGCTGTACTGTGACTGACCAACTATTATTCTATTTACTTACTATTCATTTATTCAACCCTTATCAATAGTGTTGATGACAGCTTGTTTTTAGGAACCCTTGATTGATACGTCTTGTCTTGAAATATTTTAGTTTGATTCTATCATTCTTGAGCTATTTGTTATAAATGTTTAAAAAGAAGATCAGAAATAAGATAAATTTTTATTGTGAAGGTAGAGTGTATGCGTTATCGGTATCTGTGTAGGATAGTATATTTAATGGAGAACATGGAAGGAGGCGCTTTAAGATGGAGTTTTAATGTTCTATTTAAGTGTGGGAGAGTTATGCTTCGGCACGAATGGGCCGGCTCGACCGGAGTGATACCATAGCCTCACAGAAAACCGACGTGAAGCAACGCTGTGTGTTTCGTCGTGTGAATGAATCCCCAATAATCCTTAAACTCTTAATCCCCAAAAGGCCAGGAAAGCCTCTAGTGTTCCAGGTGTCCTTGGGCGACGCCGATTGCCTTACCGTCATGATCCGGTAATCCGTCTACTCGTTTACCGACTTATGCCATAAAAAATATAACAGGGGCAATATGAACATGTGATAAGTGATTAGCATTGCTCAAGAACACCGGCAATACACTAGAGGAATCACAAGTGCGTTACGAATATTTTATTAAATTTTATAATTATTATATTAAGTTAGTAGGTTTATACTTTTTCAACTAGCCTCTATAGACGTTAGAAATATTATAATGAGGTAAAACTTATACAGAACCATTTTTCAAAATGATGTATGCATTACAATTAGCCAGTATGAGTAATATGAGTAATAATACTTATAATAACGTAAATTAACGACCCGGAAAACATTAAAAGTAGGGCACTAAGACGAATTACCTTTATATTGCTTTAGATTTTTCACAAGTCTTTATTTGTCCTTCAAAGTAATCTTAATAATGGTTTACACCTTTTTATAAAAGTGTATAAAGATTATATATAACGAATCTAATATATATTTGCCAAAATTATTGTAATTTTCGGATAATATCGTCGCCGATCGTCAACACGCAAGTGGTTATAATTTTGACACGGTAAGGGCGTAACGAATTTGAAATTGAACTCTTTAGTACTTTCAAAGGAGTCAATTGGGTTACGCGTCAACTTAAATCATAATTTCAAGTGTTATAAGTGACCCAAACTTTACTTTATAAGAAAGAAGGTACGTTTTAGTAAACTAGGTATAACTTACAATAACATTTTTGCGATAGTAGCGCCTTCTATTGAAATAAAATGAAACTAAGCCTTTATTGAAAGGTGTATGTTTTTTAGTGAATGATTTAAATTGAAGCAAAGTCTAGATTGTATCATTGACGACATGATAGAATACTAGATGTAACAACTACTGAAGGGGAAATCCTGTATCCGACCACAATAAATATAGAACGGTATCCCACTGGGACAAGTAACTAAAGTACATAATAATAAATAACAGTTCACAAACCTTTTAGCTACAATAAACTAGATAAAACTTAAGTAGAATAGTAGATACGGTTATCAGTAACCGTAAGACACCACCTGTTCAGCATAACTTTGATTTTCCAGGTCAATATGTAAATACAGAGATATGAAATGAAAGGAAGACTGATTACATGAAGCGACGCACTGAATAATAAGTAGCTTAGTTCTATAACGTCCTTGGTGTTGGACAAGTACTTAATAAACGTTTGTATTGTTATGTTAGGTTAGGTTTTGTGTGGTGTATGGTAATATTGACCCTTCTCTATGGTTGTGTGGTATACATATAATAAAGAAAGTATGTAGTATAAAAGATACTTTTATTCTTTTCATGTCATGTTTTACACATCATTCCATTAACCTATCCCATCTGTAAGTGTCGTGGTGGCCCGGAGGTTTAAGACGCCCGCTTCTCATGCATGAGGGTGCGGGTTCGAAACCTATCAACGGCAAATACCACTGTGACTTTTCCCGAGTTATATGTACTTTCTAAGATTATCTAGACACCACTGACAAACGGTGAAGGAATACATGAACTTATAATTTCTAATTATAAGTTTGAAATCGCCAAACCGCAATGAGCAAGCGTGGTGATTAATGCTCAACCCTTCTCCGTGTGAGAAGAGGCTTTGCTCAGCAGTGGGTATTTATCGGCTGTTGATGATGATGATGATGATGATTCCATCTACAGATTGGGATTTCAGATTTTTAAGTATGTTTAACTTACCCGTACATTAAAGACGATTTATTAACGCACAGGTACATAATAGTCGCTTTTGAATTTGTCCTAAAACTAATTACCGTTGACTGCTATGCTATGAGAAACTGTAGAATTTCAACTTCATATGCCCGAAAAAGAAGAATTATTCAAAAAACATACATACATAACATCACGCCTTTTATCCCCGAAGGGTTAGGCAGAGGTGCACATTATGCCACTGTATAATGTACCACCCACTTTTCACTATTTATGTTATAAGTCCCATGTAATAGGGGGTGAGCCTATTGCCATATACCGGGCACATTTCCAGACTCCATGCTACTACTGAGTTTTTTTTAAAAAAACCCAGTAATACTTTGCCCGACCCGGTAATCGAACCCGAGACCCGTTGCCCGGCAGTCGCATTTGCGACCACTCGGCCAACGAGGCAGTCTTATTCAAAAAAATTAAAACAATAATAGTGTCAAAGCTATATAAAACAAAGGAAACCACGTTTTTACAAATACTCCTAATCTCAGCATGTCTAAGCCAAACATATACTGGAGGAAACGTGTTTCTTTATGTCGAGATAACACGTGCAGTGCCGTCGACAGCCAGTCTCGAATGTTAATGGTGGGTAATCCACGCGTTGCCTTGGTGCATATTAAGTGCAAAGTGCAATGCCCTGTAGATGTCGTTGCCAGTCTGCGGCTAGCGGTCGTAGGCATTTGACATGGCCGCCATTGTGAAAAAATACACGAGACATTTTTCGTTGCGTATTTTTTGAACTTTTTGGTAATTTACCGCACACATTTACTTAAGTACGTAAAGACGATTTTGGATTGAAAAAGGACTTATAGGTTTGTAGTATAGCATTTATGGATATGTCATAGTATAGTGTGGTTCAGGGTAGGTATTTATTAATTGTATTTTTGATTCATGTTTTGATTGATGAGGGTTCCAAAAGATTCAATAACATTTTAGAAGTTTTTTACCGTGTTAAAAGTAACCGTATTAAAACATAATGTGCACCTCTGCCTACCTCTTCAGGGATAAAAGGCGTGATGTTATGTTATGTAAAAGTAAAGAAAATTTTCCCCCCTTAAAAAAATAAAAATTAGGAGTCGATTATACCAATTACACTCCCAGTTAATATACTTAAGTAGTCTACATACCAAATAATATTTATTTAACGATGATTAGAATTTAAAAACAATATCTCGAATCACAAAAGTAAATACGATTGCAAAAGAAATTAGCGAACACGCAAATCAAAACTTACGACTTCGGGAAACCCTTTGGTTTCCCACCAATTTCCGGACCCTAAATTAGCAGTGTTTAGTCCAAACGTAATTTATTTGCAATTAATGTTATCGATGTTACAAAACAAAGTTGTATGTAATCAAAATGCAAATACAAGTCGCGGTGCGTGGCCCTTATCCCCTGACCCACATCTCCAAGGTTGGTCCTACGACATTTTGGCGTTCACGAAACCCATAATTGTTTCATAAATAAATGCTTGTAATTGAATATTTTTCGCGTTTAGAAGTGGGGCAGGTGTTAATTGTATGTTGCAGGTTTTGTCGTCTAGACTCTATAATTATTTCGTGGGAATAAGGATTTTCAGCACAGTTCTTCTATACAAAAACATACATCATGCATATCGCCTTCGGCTTTTTATATACCACTACTCTTTATGTACTAGAGGTTCTGTTTATATATGTACAAAGATTTTAACTGTAGTAAATATACACAGTGTAAAGTGTGAGATGTTATTCGATGTCATTGACCAGAATAACTTTGACAGATCCTTGAAATATTAATTACTAGCGACCCGCCCCGGCTTCGCACGGGCGCAATATGCATGTATTATACATACAAACCTTCCTTAAGAATCACTCTATCTATTAAAAAAAACCGCATCAAAATCCGTTGCGTAGTTTTAAACATCTAAGCATACATACGGACATACAGCGAAAGCGACTTTGTTTTATACTATGTATTGAAGTTTCATATGTTTTCATTTAGATGTAAGGAAATTAAGTACTTTAGTTATCAATAGTAGTCGGTTGCAATTCATGAGCCTATACTATGTCTATCATAAGTAATTTAAAGGTCGCATTAGGATAAAGAAACGAATCTTACCTTGAACGTCTTATAAGATGACACAACGTAAGAGGCTCCGTCTTCCAACTCCTCAAGCCTGTACTTTCTGTCACCATCCATACCAAAGATGAACCTCGCTCCTCGAGGTAGTTCCAGTCTTTCTGAGAGCCTGTCGAGAAGGGCATCCATAGACGCCAGATCTCTACCCGGCTTGAACCGAAACTCAACACCAGGATGAAATGGGTCCCCATTTCTGTAGAAGGTAACTCTTCTGGCTTTCCAGTAGTTGAGGTTGGCGTATCGACTTGCTGGTTCAGCTCTGGTTGGTCTAGCAGTGGCTTCAGATCCTTCAGAGATGTCATCGGTACGCTGCGGTGGTGTTGCGGGGCGGGAGGGCCGCCAGTCGCCAGGTTCTCGCTCGTCGTCCGATTGCGGGTCGGGAGGCTGCTGTGGGGTCGGATCTGGTGCTGGCGTGGGTTCTGGGGCAGCCTGGCGACAGGGACGCGTCAGTAGGCGCGGCCGGGGGTGCGGCCGACGCGACATACCTCCGTCCGGCCCGGCCGCGGACTGCCGCGCGCCCCGGCCACCCACCTACTTCCAATCAACTGATACCACTGTCCATGTTCATTCATGAACTGACGATTCATGCCGGCCACGTGGTTGATTGATTGAGAGTAGGCGAGATCACTTAAGCTAAGAGTGCACTTAACGTAGTAGTCAGGAGCTAACAACCTAATCGCAATGTTACGACCAAAGGCCACATTGTTAGTTCTACTATGATAATATCTGGTAAATCTTGAGAAGTGATAACAATCTAGTTAACTCACAGTCTAAGGTTTATCCATCGTTGGAAAATGGACGTAATAATAACGAGAAATAAGAACGTCTTTATAATAAAGTTACCAAACGTTTTTGACGACCTTATGTGCAAGTAAGTCGGATTTCATTGTGTGCCTAAAATATCACTTCATATAGCTATTTATTTATTTATTACTTATATTACTTACTTTGTAACTACTAGTATTGTCACTATAATTTAGTTTTATTCATAAAATTACTAAAATAAACTGGTTTTGACTATGATTTTATCAACTATAAAATATTTCAGACACCATCCCGGAATTGTCACAAGATAAGATTCAAAGATTTAAAAACAAATCAAATTCCAAAACATAACTTACACAATAGTCCAGAACAACAACAGACATCATGGTAAGGACGTGAAACCTTGACTGGTTCGCAGTAACTAATGATTTGTTAAACTTTAACCCAGGTATAGTCAATCGTTAGATGTTCTTTAAGATAACAGTTAACGAGTCAGCTCGCTGCGTGACTAAGTAACCGTAGTCACGAGTCACGACCAAGTGGACGGTAACTTAAAACTTATAACTAATAAAACTTATAAAATGAATCAGCTAGCTAGAAAGAAGTAATATTCGTAAGTTGGTCACGTGTAATTATGGACTTTATCGCCGTATAGTCATTATTTTAGCGTGTCGATGATTGTATCAATTATTGTGATTCAGACTTTGGTGGAATTGTTGATATTTGTCGAGATTATTTTTCTTTATTTCGAGCTATATTATTGTGCAATATACTAAATATTTGACGAATTTAATCAACAAGGATTCAAATATCTCGCATGTATTTATTTCAGTTTCCATTTTTATTTCCAATTTCAGATTAAATAGTTAAATTAATAGCGTTATAAAGATAGTATACTTATTAAACATGCAATTATGAATTCATAACTTAGTTACCATCGTATAGTTATAAAAACGAAGCCGTAAAGCTCATTAAAACGACATAATGAGTTTTTACGACTGCCAATTAAATTGTGGAATGTTTGGCACTTTGTAAGCTAAAAGCGACAAAATTATTTTAACAATATACTTAATAGGTTTGTCAACAGGTTATCTATTAAATCGTCATAAAATCTATAAATCTATTACACAATATAGATAGTATTTAACTAAAAGTTATTGTTAGCAAAATGTGTATTATTAGAAATATCTAATCTTACCACAGCATTCGCCGGCACAGCTTCCTCAGTCGCCATTTAAAAACCTATTTTAAAATGCACAACCAATCACAAGCACTAAAATCCAGTTCGAATATTCAAATTCAGAATTACAATACAACGTACTCGCCTCAACGTACGACGTAACTTCCGGGTAAAAACATTCGATGTTTAAATTACGAAAAAGTTCGCGACGATAGATTAAAAACGTGTTTTTATTTTTTATTTGTATTTAAGTTAAAGCCTTTGTGGTATTTAAAAATTTAAATAATGTTTATTAAATTGTTTGGTTGTTTTTGTTGTGAATGTGGTAGTCGTCCGGTTATGTTTTGTTAACGGAACAGAGTGACGGCTGTTCGAATGGGCGGCAACGGCGGCCAGCGGCCAGCGCACCCGTGTGCGCGGAAACAACTGGACCAACTGCTATGTTAATCGATAAACTATCTAGGACACGGAAAATCAGGATTTAAGTCCTTCAAAAAAGTATGATTATTCTAATATTTTAATTTAACACAAAGGAAAATCAATAATCAATAATACCAACTTGCAAGGCGTAGTTATGAATGATAAAGTACCTATTAATATTTTCTAAAATAATATTATTTTTATACAAAATACAAGTCGTTACTAATTCAGTGGATTCACACTCTAGATACAAATCTTAAACATCTATTATTAAGCAACTACGAGCTACGCTGTAGCAGAATTGCTACGACGTAGTCGCTAGTTTTTATGTGTAGCCAAAACTTTTGCTACGATCTCTGCGCAGACGCAAGCCTGTAACAAAACAGCTAATTCAAATTATTTTGAGTTTTTGTATATTCCAGAAAATTTTAAACGGATAAATTATTGTACTTTTACAATAATCTAGAAGGCATTTCACTAAATCTTCAAGGCCGAAGTAAATAGGTTACTTATGGGTAGACGTGCTCCATCGCAGGCCGCTTCATCGCTTACTATCAGGCCAGTTACTGGCCAAACGGCTGCATGGTTGGCGCGGTGGTTGGGCAACTGACTGCCACGTAACGTATCGCGGGTTCGATTCCCGCTCAGAACAACTCTTTGTGTGATCCACAGATCCAATCCAGATGTTCCAAGTCTGGGTGTCATCTGTATGTAAATCTGTATGTTTGTAAACGCACCCACGACACGGGAGAAAAATCCTAGTGTAGGGCAATCCTTATATTAAAGAAAAAAAAAACGTCGCGTCGGTCCATCACACATAAAAAATCTCAACAATTATGCTTTTTGTCTACAACCTTATTTACAAACGTCAATCGATAGAAAAACATGACCATAAACTAATTGATATCAAGAATAATTTAAACCAAGATTTGGAATACTTATTGATTATTCTCAAGATCCAGAATATTTAACTCGTATCAATTTTTTTGTCCAAAAAATTTCATAAATCACCGAGGTTCTAGTCGTCTTAACGCACACGAGTTGCTCGCCGGTCAACGAAGCATATTGTAGCGTCGTGTTTATGTAGGTTAAGACTATATTTTTTCACCTCTTGCTTTAGGGAATGTTTCGTTTTATGTCCCAATTACGTGTTTTAAATTATATTATACATATACATCTATATTGTTGCGTAAGTAAATGGGTGCTCCACTTTTAAATGACGTGTTAAAATCCGGAAATTGAATTCATGACGCTGTGGTTCTATGTATAATAAATACATAAGTTTTCTTAATAACTGTTATATAACTAAGGTGTTACGCGTTGTGATGTTTAAGCATTCATTATTCTCTTTTTACAGGTTACAATGAAGTTATTCATTAAAAGAATTTTGTTTATTAAAACAACTGGTTACATTCGCGCGACTCCACCCGTTCTACTCGGCTCCTGTTAATTCTAGCATAATGTTAGCATATACACTTCCTCGATAAATGGACTATATAATACAAAAATAATTATTCAATTTGGATCTGTAGTTTCTATATTCTAATACTGGCGACCCGCCCCGGCTTCGCACGGGTGTAATATGCATGTATTATAAACATATAAACCTTCCTTAACACGTTAAACGCCATGGGGGTCACCGGTGACCGGCGTTAGCGGAGGATTTACTTTCAACAGATTTTTTATTGGCAAACAAAGTCTTAAAAATAACTCTGTCTATTTAAAAAATACCGCATCAGAATCCATTGCGTATTTTTAAAAATCTAAGCATACATAGAGACAGACAGACGTCGGATAGCGACTTTGTTTTACTATTTAGTGAACAAAAAGTATAAGATTTTACTTTACTTATCAATACTCTCCTTACCTTCCGTAGACTATACATTGATTAACATATTAAAAAGCATTGTAACTCAATAGAAATTGCATAAATTGTCCTAAAAATGATTTGGTTCCCTTCCAGTCTTTGCAGTTATGTAAACTATTATCCTTCGTGAATGCAGTAAACATCCAAACATGCATGCAGAGTGTGCCAAAACATGAACCCAGTATTCTACAATGTTTTATACTTATGTACAATTAGCTACTGCAGTCATGTTTTTTTGTCAATGTAATAAAAGGCTAATATGACATAAAGTATATTCATTACTATAAGTTACAGTTACGAAGTAATAAATACACACTGTATCTTAAACATTTAAATTTTACAAAAAATATAATTAAACTGTCAAACACCAAGCGGTCACCGGTGACCGCAACCTATTGTTCTATAATTGTATCTATAATGACGGTACTCGACGAGTTAATATTTATACATATATAGAATTATAACGCCTAATCTAAGTATCTATATTAATAATTTTGTCAAGGGGTACGGTAGACTCGATCGAAACATTACCTGAATAACAAAACATAAAAAAATATCGATTTCGAGTCGACAACTTATATCCGCAAAATTTATTCATTCATTTTAATGACACTTACACAAACCGCTGTCGCCATCTTGAGTAGACAATAAACGTTCCGTTTCATACTAGCTCTCAAATACGCCTCGCCACTCAACACGTTGTCACGTCAAAAAAGTATAAATTAACAAGGAATATGAATAATTTCACGCGAACGAAGTCGCGAGTAACAGCTAGTATATTATATTTCGTGAGGACGGATAGATAAATGAATAAGTACGTAGACTATAATTTATTTAGTTGGATACAAAATTATGTCTGGATAATTGCATACGTGATCTCACATTTTTAGAAATATT